CACAGCACCATTCGCTCCGTACTTGGCACGTCCTTCATGTTTACCATTAGTTCAGCACAGTACATAGAATAGCCATTTCTGCAGAACATAACAATAAAAATATACATGAAATCAATACATACATATAATAAATTGAACATATCACAAACACTGCAAATATATAGACAAGAACCATTAGTGAATTTCAAAACGGTCACCAACATTCTATTTCTATTATAAGAGCAGTATATCTTATAAGATAAGACTGCATAAGTCATGCAAAACAACTAAATTAAGGTATTTCTGAGAAAACCAAATTCTTCTTAGTGGTTTGAAACATACGGTGGTGGTTTGGTTGGCCGGCCATCAAACTTGTCCTTGAGCTGCCGTTCAGCCTTGGTCAGGACAGATTTGATGTGTTCCTCGGAGTTTGCATCCGGATGAGCTTCAAAATACACTCTCATGCTGTCCTGTATGAGAAAGCAATATTTCACAATGTCCTTTATCCCTCTAATCAACAAAGACTTCATAACTCTTGCTACTGTGAAAACACAAAGTCATACCTCATAGAGTTTCTGCAGCTCTAGAGCTTTGCTGATCCATTTTAGCCTCTTTTTGTCTAATAATTGGGACCACTGTTTGCGTAATGCTTCCTTCAGCTCCTTCTGGCTTACCTACAAACATCAGACATGGAAAAGTGAGTGTAGGTCTTTCCATAACCAGTTAAATCTGATGAGATGCTCTCAAAAATAAGAAAAAAAAAAGCATTTAAATTGATTTCTACGACAACACACTAAGACTACCTCTGGGTGAACTTTCATGTAGGTCTTCTTCTCATGGTTGTACCATAGCTGCTGTGGGGTCTTGGGTTTCTCTGGGAGGTCTGACTTCTTTCTCTCCTCAATTAAATCTGGGTGGTCTTCCCTAAAAACAACAGAATCCTCTCACTGAATCACCAATACAAAACTGACATATATGTGTTAGGTATTTTTGTGCAGAGGAAGGTGGACACTAACTTGAATCTTGCCATGTTCTTTTCAAAAGCCGCTTTCTCTCTCTGGAACTCTTGAATGTACTTGAGCTGACAAAAGTAATAGTGCAAATTTACAAGCAAAACAGATGACCTTCAAAAGTAATATTTGCAAGCACTTAAGAGAAACATGACTCAAAACTATGGAAAGAATTAAATTCTACTAATGCCAGCACTTTACATATAGTAGGACATGTATTATTATTTTTTAAATGAACATCAAGAATTTAGGTTAAAATTCACTGAAATGTATAAGAGAAAGTATATATCTTAGGTTACCATTCTTAGTACAATATTTACCATTGGTAATCATCATTTTGCCATTTAAATTGTCCTGTTGTGGGACAAATGAATACTGAAGTACAAATATTTTCAATTAATGTGAGATGTAAAGTGTTATTTTACTATTATGTATATACTATTACAGAATTTGTTAATATTTTTAATTATATTGTAATTTTAAGATTTTAATCAATTTGATATGCACTTTTGTCATTTTATTATTTTTTTTTAATTCTATATAGCTTTACTTCAATTTTTCTGTTTCAGTTTTAGTCATTTTAGTATTTCGACTTATTTAGTTTCCAATGCACCATTTCTCATTTAAAGGCACAATATGTAAGATTTTTTTATTAAAATATCC